TGGAGAGATAGAGAGATAGAGAGATAGAGAGATAGAGATAGATAGAGATAGATAGAGATAGATAGAGATAGATAGAGATAGATAGAGATAGATAGAGATAGATAGAGATAGATAGAGATAGATAGATAGGGATAGAGATAGATAGATAGGGATATAGATAGATAGATAGGGATATAGATAGATAGATAGGGATATAGATAGATAGATAGAGAGATAGATAGAGATATAGATAGAGATATATGTATTTTTTTTTAATTTAGTGCTCCTTGTAATATATTCACAGCAATAGAGAAGCATTTCTCTTCATCCTGACAGGGCAAGGCCCCTAGAATTGGAACTCCTTTTTTTGTGTTTCATGTGGCATTTTTTTCTTGCGATGGGGTGTAGGATATACCTAGTCTTGCAAGGACTTTGATGCAAGGTTCACTTTAAGGATTTTTAAGTGTTTGGACAGGGGATGAAATGCAGGGGAAAGCATAAAACATTTTTTATTTTTTGGCCCCAAAACTCCATGCTGAATACTTGAAGCATATGGACCTCTTGTAAAACAAAAAACAGTTGACATATATGAATGTGTGGTCAGATTTGAAGACTAAATGAGTCACTGCTGCTGCTTTGTTGTGGGGGCTGTGTGCACATAAGATGGGGGTGAAATTGAAGGTCTGTCTGCCCTGGAGCCCATTCTGGTTTTTAGCACCCCTGTCCCCAAGTTACATATTTTACGTATAACTACAGCTGATTGAAGAAACATGCATGTGTGACTTCCTGTATAAAATAGAATGTTCATTGGCTGCAACAAGTGTTTTGAAATCATTGGCCATTAATCAAAATGTTCCATGGTTCACATAAGGCTTACTCGTGGCATGCAATGACAGCATGAATAGATTAATTGAAACTTCTTTGCTGCTTCATAACATTGGTATAAGTGGAACAAAAAATAGAAGCGCTACTAACCACAATATAGGATGCAAAATTGCTTTGTAAACAGTTTGTGAATTGATACGAATGTGATACATGAAGAGCATATGTGTGGAACTAAGGAAGGGTGACTCACTGTTAATGAAGAATAGCGGATGTTTGCAGCTTTCAGTCACGAACGTCTCCTCGCTATCTTACTCCGGTCTTGAAAAAGAGGCATAGCCTCGAAACGCGTAGCCGACTGCAGCTTGACACCACCCAGTGAGACGGACTGTTTTGCCGACCAGCCCGGTGCTCGTTTCTAAGTTCCATCCCTCACTGGTTGCTGACAGTGATAGAACCGCCGCAGAGCGGCTTCTTTTTGCCTCCTATTTTTACAGCCGACAGGACTCAGCCTGGCCAGCTGTTTCCTTACGGCACCCGACAGCACCAAAACAACTAGTGCTCAGCCCGATCTCTGACATGGCTACATGATTCCACCTCCAGCCAGCCATAAATCTCCCTGCGCTATAGTCACAGGAGCCTTCGTGACTGGAAGCCGCTAACATCGTCTATTCTTCATTAGCAGAGGCTCAACACGTCCATCAAACAGTGAGTCACCCTTCCTTAGTTCCACACATATGCTCTTCATGTATCACATTCGTATCAATTCACAAACTGTTTAAAAAGCAATTTAGCATCCTAGATTGTGGTTAGTAGCGCTTCTATTTTTTTGTTCCACTTATCTAAATATACAGGGTCCCTCTCCCTGCTTCAGAAGTCCGCACACACCACACCACTAACTGTTACCACTACAGAAGTGCGCTTACCATCTTTTTCTGTTTTTTACATAACATTGGTATAGAATCTATTACCCAGAATGGTTCCATAATTGAACATGCTTTACAGCATTTAATACATTAGGTCTTCATAGTTGTTGTAACCTAAAATTAATTTAGAAATGCTCAACAGTTTTCTCTTATTAATATGTAGTCCAAGCTTGAAAGTATGTTTTTATTAGTTTGTTGGAACCTTTACGTTCTGGATCTTTGGGTAAAGAATTTAGCACCTATACTGGTGTTCAACTAGATTATCTTGTTAGTACCGTGTCTGTTATGTTTGGAAGATGAGCAATAACCCTTTGTACTAAACAGCCTTGCCACTTGAGAACGCAAATATATAAACTGCTTACAAATCTCAGTATTTTTTTATATCGGGCTCTTGAGGATACTTGCTTTCATTGCTTTCATTTGCATTTAGCATTCTAATATTTGAGGATTTGATAAAGAGTGCAGACAGCTCTCAACTATGTAAACATTACTTGTATCCAATGGTGTGGCTGTGACCCATGTTCTAATTGACTAAACTTTGTTGGTGTGATATACAAATGAAATGTATATAAACACGTATTAATGCTAACAAATGCACTTTGTGTATGTAATTTCTCTCCCAGAAGGGTATGAATGCAGTCATGATTTGGATTCTTCATTTTTATGGTTTTATTCCGTTTATTTGGTCATAAAATTGTCTTGCTTTGTATTTTTCAATTAGACACTGAGCCAATTTCTTTGAGAAACAATAAAAGGCGGTCACAATTTTTTGAGCAAGGTAACCCTTGTAAACAAGTAATAGATGTTGTGCTACTGCTGAATGTCCAACGGGATCCTTTAGTACTAACCATGGTGCTGGGTTCTGAGCCTCTACTGCCATCTGCTGAAAACAACCTATTACATTTGTTTTCTCTTCAGGATCATCTGGTTTTTCATACAACTCATGGGTCTACTTATGTGGTAAAGGGTGGTTTTTTTGTGTTCTGGTATTTCCTTTTGTGAAAAAAAACATTCTGGAAGAAAAAGCCTATGACAGCTATTTGTGCTGTGTATACATGTTGCACATTTTCATTTTCATGTTCTATATTTTCTACACTTTTTTGGCTGCTTTGGCTTATTTTTCTAATAAACACTGGTCATTTATTTTTGCCATTAAACATTACATTGTCTGCTATATGAGCCCCCAAAAATATTCAGAGAGTTATTATTTAATATTTCCAAGTTGCTATATTTTTTATGAACATTTAAGTATAGAATGGTATTGGCTAGTCAGTGGCTTGACCAGTATTTGCTCGGTTAGCGGTTTCTACAGAAACAATTTTTCTTTCTTGTAAAATAGTTTTTAATATGGAATGTGTAATAGATTTAAGAGAAGAAATGATCTAGGTAGTAATAGAGTTAATGTTTTGGGAAATATTAGGAACTTCAGCAAACTCTACCTTTTGATTACATTAACATGTTTTCAATATATTGGCCATTTATTTGAAATGTGTTTTTGAAAGGTGTGTTTCACATTTACATCCTAAATTCAATTTTATTTACGTTTTTGCTACAAAATTTGACAACCATCAACTTTTTTTGGAAGTAGGAATTGCATTCATGCCAGCACTGTTTGCAGAGTCGCTGACAGTCTAAAAGAAATGGTTGCCTAGCTTTTTCTGTGCATGTTAAAGCTTTTCTGTTTTTACTAACCAGCATGTGTGTGTGCATTTGTGCTCCTGTTTGTCTATGTTGAAAAATATTATAACATTTTATATCGAATTTGAAAGCATTTAATTATTATTTGTGAAGCACATATTTACTCTTGCAATTACAAAACAGGTTTAGAGATTGCAGGCTATTAGCTGGGTAATTTTCTGAGATTGTCATCTGTTTTTCCTGAATTACCACAATTATTCTCTAGTCATATTTTAACACATTAGGTGGGATACATTTATTGTTTCTATTTGAACTAAAGAAAAAATATTAAACGTGCACTTTTGTGTAAAAAGGCAAGTACGCCCCATGGAAATTAGATTTTTCAACAAATTTTAACAGGCAAACAGTGCCTACAGATAAAGGTGATGTACTTAAAAAATACATATAAAATGAACATGGTGTATTAAATCTCATGTGATCTAAATGAACAAAAAAGCGCATCGTCCCAAGGAAAAAAAGTACAACCTCCTACATTTACCGCCACTTCGTTTCAAATTAAGATCCCATTTCTACTGTTTAAATATGTGGAAAAAGTCAACAATGTGCAACTATTGCACAGGACTGTAATTTTGACTAAATTATATGTACACTTTTTTTTCTCAAGTGTCTTTTAGCAGATGTAAAAAAGCAGATGTAAAAACAAAAAAGGTGTACTATATTGCCTGGACTTCTGTAAATTACTAAAATATGTGAGAAAATTACTATTATAGATTTTAGTGTGCTGAGACGAGTATAGCTTCACACTTAAGTGGTTTTGATTTTATTTTAGTGTGCTGAAAATTCAGAATTGTTAGTGTACTTATGTCTAATATGCACTAGGGCTCCCTCTACCCTTGTTGTTGGCTAGGTGAAATTTATGTTAAAATTGCTGTAATACCAACCTGTAACCAGGGTCTGGTTTCTTAGGTGACAGGTTGTGCTTTTATTTATTTATTTTTTCTCTTTACTGCCTTACTTCCTCCTTACAGCCATGGATCTGTGTAGGGCAGAAGCACTAAATTGAAGTAATCATAATCTGAGGTCCGCTCTAATTTTCTATTTGGGGTAAAGTAGCCACTGTCGGTTTATTTTTATTGCTAGTGTAATTAAGTATAAATATGTGGCTACTGCTAATCTTGTGGGGTTTTTTTAAAATAGCCTAATAAGTATTTTGTCATCAAACTAAAAGTATTTTAAAGCAGAACTCAAGACAAAGGTTTTTCGTCATTTTTAGTATGTTTAAAAAAAAAGTAAGTTACTGTTTATGCCACGAGCTGAATGCTGCTCTGTAGTGTAAAATTCATATTTTTTATTCATGCCGGATAGTACAGCTATCACTGTCCTTCAAGCCTGCTGTGACTCTCCTACAGGGAAGCATTAGTGTCATTTATCAGCCCCCTTTCCTCTTGTCCATTCACAGAACCCTTTGTGTTCTGTATAGCATTGACTTGAGTATACAAGGTGTTCTTTGAATGCACAAAGGGAGAGGGGGTGGATAAAACACTATTGCTTTTCTTTATTGAGAGCTTCCGCTCTCAAAGCCGCAGCAGACCAGAAAAACTGTGCGATCTGTACTAAGTGCAGGTATGAATTTTACACTACAGAGGAACACTCTGGACATGGTGTAAACCTCATAATGGGTAACTTTACCGGGAGTAATGCTTTAATTGTAAGCATTCAAATTCACTCTTTCATTAATGTGTTTTAATGTGCGTAGTGTGGGAATTGATGCCTTCCAATTACCTTTTCCTTTCTGTTTATAGGAAGTTCAGATTCTACTGCACCAGATGTAAGTATTTGTTTACAATGGGTTATTAAGAACCTGGTGTTTTATTGGAAAGAAAATGTAATATATTATGGTATACCTCCTTTGATTTTAGCAGCACAATTTTGACCCTGGAGAACCAACATGGTTTTTCTTGCTGGTTCCATTAGTAGTGATGTCCAATTTAGATAGGATGTGAGAACTTACCATCTCCTAAGTTATTTTTTACCCTAAAGGTTATTAGGATTCAACTGTTTTTTTAGTATGTTGCATCCTACAGGGATACCATATTTCTGCTTGATATTCAAGCACTTTTGTGGGATATGAGAAAAGTATACTGATGGGAATTTATCAGAACTGAAGCAGGCAATCTGGAGCAGTTGCCCATGGCAACCAATCAGCTTCTCTTTCCTTTTCAAAGCTCAACTGAACAAACTAAAGATAGAAGCGGTTATTCTGGACAACTGCTGCAGATTATATCTGCTCCAGTTTTGATAAATTACCCTAACTGTATTTTGATATGCATTGAGTTCATCTAATTTTAAGCTAGATGTTTTCCAGCCTTGCTTTCAAAAGTCATTCGTAGCACAATGGCAATGTAGTTTATGATAGAGTATTATATTTGATACTGGACTTGTATAATTTGATTGGTTTTGTAATTGCAGATGCCAGTTCCATCCATAAACGTTTCAGCACGATGGTCTTGGGATCCTCAAGATGAAAGAAAGAGGCAGGAAAAGTGGCTCCAAGAACAAGAACAAATTCTGCAGGTAGTAAAATATATAAGAACACAAAAATAGTTTGTATGCCTATAGATCTAAACCGATTGTGTAATGTACAAGTAACTGTGATATTCAGCTTTGACAAGGGGGCACCTTCGTTGCGGTTTTGTGGGAGGGACAAACAATTTAGAGACAACTTCACCATTGTAGCCTCCAAAGAAAGTAAGATGAGATTCAGTTCCCCAGCAAATTGTCACTTTTCAATGGTGTAAGCCTTGAAAAATATGGAATATTTTTTATTATGGGACTCCACAAAAATAACAAGTTCATAGTTTTTGTTTTGTAAGTCGGAGAGCTCATTCAACATTCATGCTCAATTTTTATTCACTGTACTTAAGTTTTGAAAATAAATATGTCTCTTTTGTACACCAGGAAAAGTATAAGCGAGAGCAAGAAAAGCTTCAAGAAGAATGGGCGCATGCTCAACAAGAAGCAGAGAAAGGAAGATCTCAGCAGACCAATCAGGTTTATTTTTATTCACTTCTATTTATTTGAGCTATTAATAGGCACATATGACACTCACCAGTAGCTTATATTTATCACAGGAGGAAACAATCCTAAAATTTAACAGTTCTGCAACTTCACATGCCCCCTCGTACCTGATGCCAGAAGGTTCTGACGCATCGGATTTAGTGAGCAGTGAAGAGGACGATGGAGAACAGGAAAGGAGAGTGGAAGAGGAACGTGAGAGAAAGAGAAAAGAAGAGAAGTTGAAATTCTTAGAAGCACAGAGGCGCCGGGCAGAGGAAGAAAGCAACCGGCGTCAGCAAGAAGAAACAGAAAGGAAACGGCAATATGAAGAAAGAAGGCAAAAAGAAGAGGAGCAAAGGAGACTTAGGGAAGAAGAACAGCAGCGGAAGAAATATCAAGAAGAACAGCAGCGACTGAAATCTGAGAGTGAGAGAGGCCAGAGTAATTACATCAGGTAGGGGAGTGCAACTAGAAGATTTGATAAATATATGTAGAAAGGTGTCACATCCTGGTGAACATTGTTGCTATGCTATGGGAAAAATTAAAGTGTTTTGTTTAAATCAATGTATGAATTTAACAAACAGGCCCTGGTGAGCCCTCACAGAGCCCTGGTGAGCCCTCACAGAGCCCTAGTTTAACCAGGGCTCTGTGGGGTATCACCAGGGCTCTGAGGGGTCTAACCAGGTTGGTGAGACCCCACATAGCCCTGCGAAGACCCTACAGAGCCCTGGTTTAACCAGGCCTCTGTGGGGTCTAACCAGGGCTCTGTAGGGTCTCGCCAGCCCTAGTTAAACCCCACAGAGCCCTGTTGGGACCCTACAAAGCCCCGGTGAGACCCTATAGAGTCCTAGTTTAACCAGGGCTCTTTGGGATCTCACCAGGGCTCTGTGTGGTCTAACCAAGCTGGTAAGACCCTAGAGAGCCCTGGTTTAACCAGGGCTCTGTGGGGTTTTACCAGGCTCTGTGGTGTCTAACCAGTCCTCACAGAGCCCTGGTGAGACCCCACAGAGCCCTGGTTATACCAGGGCTTTGAATGGTCTTACCAGGGCTCTGTGGGGTTTCACCAGGACTGGTTAAACCCCACAGAGACCTGGTGAGACCCCACAGGCCTGAGTGGGGCCTCATGTTTAGGTTTCGCCTAAGGCCTTGCAAACTCTAGAGCCGCATCTGATCACAGGAGTACCAAGCAGCTGGTGCCCAAGGTTGAAGAAGGGCCTGACGCTGGGGTAGGGGAAGCTATGTGGTGAGACCCCACATAGCCCTGGTAGGGGAAATGGCACTTTCGGCATAGTTTAGGTCATCAAGTTCAAGATGTAAGAACCTTTATTACACAATTACAACCATTTATCTGATTGTCTGAACAGTTTTTCATAAATGTTAGTCAGCTATAGCTTTTCTAAATTTAGTGATATTTTTATTGGTCTGCCAATGCTACGCTTCTGATTGGTTGCCTTTTTTTTTTTTTTTTACTGCTCACATTTTTATTTTCTTAAAGAAAACATGTACTGAGAAAATAAGTTGCCATGGTTTGTTGCATGGCTTTTATGTTGCTCTGCAGGATAAAATATCTTGAGTCACTCAGGCTGGGTTTACACCTAGGCGTATCGAATATGTGTGTTTTGTCACTGCGATTCGTGGTAAAAAAAATGCGCGACAAACACGGGTTTCCAAAGTCTATCTGGCTGTATCCCAATGGATACGCACGGCAAGCATGCCCCAAAGAAGCTCCTGTACTTCTTTGGGCGTAGGGCGTTTTGCAGCGCGTTCCTACGCAATGTAAAACGCCCAGGTGGGAGCCATGCCTATAGGCAATCATTGGTTTTCACATGTTCAGTGTTTTACAGAGCGTAGGAATGCGCTGTAAAACACTTAGGTGTGAACCAGGCAAAGTTCTGACTTTCTTGACTTAGCTTGATGTATGCGTGTTCTGAGTCAGTGACTTGGGAAGTGTTGAGTCAAGAAATAGCCAAGTAAGTATCATTTTCTATGAGGTGAACAATGGCAGCCTCTATATTTCTCTCAGTGCAGGTGTCCTTGTACAGTCTGTCCACTGTGCAGCCATGGTCATAATGTTTGTTTATTATTCTTTTTAGAAACAAATGGACAGATTCTTCAGATTCAGTTGATTATGCATACCCAGGCAATGGTAAGTGATGATGATCTTTTATGTAAAGGTCAACCAAAAATACTGCCTTTTGCATCCTTTATGAAAGCATATCGGCAGGGCAGCACGGCTTTGTGGGCTCTTCAACAGACTGAAAAATTACTAAAGACCCAAAAGTATCAAATGGCATGGTGATATTGGGAAAAGTTCTGTCTGAGAGTCTCGCCATCCTTCAATACTCACAAAATCGCACAGGCTAATATCTTATGAGTGTTCATGTGAATAAAAGGGACAACTACTGTCTCCATTTTTCCATTGGGAGATTTCTCCTTACTACCCACTTGAAGTCAATTCATGTTCTAGTGAGGAAAGTTTTTAGAACCTCCTAGCACAATTGTATATTCCTTTTCATCCTTCTGATGGTGATTTCCTCTCACTTTGTCTATGTGATGGATTAACAGTGTTGCTGTAATAAATACTAGAGCAGATTAGAACTGTTGCCTACAACAGCCAATATGGTGTCTTTTTTTAATACATTTATAACAAAGGTTTGTTTAGCGCTTGTGACCGCAGAGTATCTACATATTGTTTAGTTCAGAGTGTAAAAATGTTAACTCGTAAGATCATTACCCCAGGAAAAAAGTTAATCCAAAATTTTATCAGGAAACCCATGCTGGTGTTGAAGAGGGAATTTCCTCATCCTTTCTCTTGTCTTCCCAGGACAGGATATGAAGAGACATTTCCACAATTTAGATATTTTATAAAAATGTACATGTTAACATTTCTATGTTATAATCTAGTGGACCAAGTGGTATTAGCAAGTAGCTTTACGGATCTGCAGTATGATATTTATACAATTTCATGTGATAACAATGCAAGGTTTTCTCCTAATACTTGCATGGTAATCTTACAATATGTAGATTATTTCTCTGTTATAGAAAATTCCATAACATTTTAAGCCTTTCACATACATTGAATACAGCTAGTTTGTTTCTTTTAGCAACTCATTGTAAAAATTCACAATTTACTTAAACCCTTAAAGCAGCACTATGGTTTTGCTGACTGGGTATTTGAGGATGAACAAAAAAGAGAGCGAGAAGAGGGTACCCATCAGAAATAGAAGTGCAGAGAAAAATAATTACACAGAGACAAGCTATTCCAAGCCAAGCTGGGCCATTGCTTCGCTCCCTGCTTCTCAGTCAAGCCAAATCATTGACAATGGTGCTTCTCTGCTAGTTGAAATAGGCTATTAAAATTGCTTTGTTAAAGTGTAACTCCACCTAGTTGACAAAAAACTTACTTAGAAACACAACTGGAACAGGAGTCAATCACTAACTATTTTTTTTTTTCTGGAGAGCCTCTAAGCTTTCAAATTGTACAATTTTCTGCTTCTTAAACATCCACTTAAAAAGCGTACCAAGCCAAATTGGTATCTAAAATGTTGTGAAGGTTTTCTCCCTCTACCTGTGCTAGACAGTGGAGACATCACTGAAGAGAAATAGACATGTGAATCTAATTGGTAAGAAGCTCTGTACCACAAATGCTAAACAGAATCACAGTTGAAAGCAAAATGGAAATGTATTTTAATCCCTGGCTATGAAAAATAAATGCTTAGTCCC